AACATCACACCTAATGGAACCAATCTGTGAGCCCTATGTAAATCAGACACTGCCTCCTCAAACCTGACTATAAAATCCAGCACATCCGCCACCGCTGGACTTTTCCTCTCGGAAGTCCCCTCTCCTAGAGAATGACCTGTTTTTCTTTCTCTTTCTTTTGCCTATTAAACATCCACTCCTGGCTGGGCACGGTGGCTCATACCTGTAATCCCAGCACTTTGGGAGGCCGAGGCAGGCAGATCACCTGAGGTTGGGAGTTCGAGACCAGCCTGACTAACATGGAGAAAACCTGTCTTTAAAAAAGTAAAAGAAAAAGAAAAAAAACCTCCACTCCTAAACTCATCATGTGTGTCCATGTCCTAAATTTTCCTGGCACGAGAAAATGAATCCTGAGTATTTACCCCAGAAAATGTAACAACCTCACCACCACCACCAGCAGCCTCTAATGAGAGGTTGATATTTCTAAAGCATAAACCTAACCAAGCTACTCCATAGCTTAAGCTCTTTACTTCCAGTGTCTGGAAAGCAAGGTGAATTTTCATTCTGCATGCCTTTTTTTGTACTGTTTCTACCCCAGAATGCTCTTCCTACTCTTGTTCATGAGAAAATTTTTGGTGAAGAGAAGATAGTTCCTCACTTTAACACTTGTGGGGAATAAAGGTTGATTACTTTCTGTATCTTAGAGATTAAGTTGATTGGCTTGGTTTGTTTATTAAACAAATTTGCTCTTTGGTCAATGTGTCAGGAAAGCCTTTCAATAATACTTCAACATTACTCTCAGAATTAAGGATGGTATAGGAAATTAGAAGCTTCCAATCCATGTATGAATCTTGAGTAGAATATGGTAGGTAGAATTTTAAGGTGGCCTCAAAATTCCTGGTGCCTTGTGTACATATGCCTTCTCTGAGTTATTCAATCCAACACTAATCTAGGTACTGCTGTAAAGGAGTTTTGCAAAAAGAGTCAAGATTCCAAATCAGTCAGCTTTAAATAAGGAGATTATCTGATGGGCATGACCTAGTCACATGAGCTCTTCCGGTAGGCGTTGTGACAAGCAGCAGAAAGTGGGAAGGGAGCACCTGAGCTCTGTAAAAACAAATCTCTAGCGAATGACAGAGGAGGAAGTCAAAGAATTGGAGCACAATAAAGATTTGATCAACACACATCCCTGGCTTGAAGATGGAGGGGACAACTTAGCAAGGAATGCAAGTGATCATTAGGAGTTCAGAGGAGCTCCCAGCTCCCAGCCAGCCAGGAAATGGCGATCTCAGTTTAGAGCCAAAAGGAATGAGTTTATGCCAATGGTAAGAATGAGCTTGGAAGAGGATTTTTCCCCAGAGCCCTTTGAAAAGAACCTCATGGGGCCAACATCCTGGTCTCAGCCTCATGAAATGCCAGTCACAAAACTGTGAACTAATATCAGTGCTCTTTTATGCCACTAAGTTTGTGTTAATTCATTATACAGGGTAATTCAATACAAGGGGATTTGCAATACATTGAAAACAGGTGTGCTCTATTATCTTTCCTTAACCTCCTCTTTCCTTTATGGACCAGGCTAAAAGAGCCCTTGTTTTTATTATTTTAACTGAAAGCAAATAATTATTTCAAATATACCAGGAGTGACTCCTAACAAAGCAGTAGTACTCACAAGTGCATCCACGTATGTCCTTGGTCTCTACCATGCCAGCTCTCACCACTGCCCAACTTCAAGCCCAGACAGAATACAAGTGGTGTGCACAGCGACTCAGAGAACCATTAAGAAACTCACTCAAGGTAACAATAAATGATAAAACTTGGACTTAAATACAAAGCTGAAGGCTGGGGCTGGTGGTTCTCACCTGTAACCCCAGCACTTTGGGAGGCTGAGGTGGGTGAATCACTTGAGGTAGGGAGTTCCAGATCAGCCTGACCAACATGGAGAAACTTCGTCTCTACTGAAAATACAAAATTAGCCAGAAGTGGTGGCACATGCCTGCAATCTCACTCGGGAGGCTGAGGCAGGAGAATTGCTTGAACCTGGGAGGCGGAGGTTGCAGGGTGAGCTGAAATCGAACCACTGCACTCCAGCCTGGGCAACAAGAGCAAAACTCCATCTCAAAAAAAGAAAAAAAAGAAAAATACCAAGCTGAATTTAAATCTAGCTCTGTTCCCAATTGTGTTGATCTTGTGTAGATTTCTTTTTCTATATCAATAACAGTGATTCTCAACTTGGCTCTACCTTAGAATCACCTTGGTGCTTAACAAAAAGGCCTGATGGCCAGACAACATTCCAAACTAATTTAATCAGAATAGCAGGGACTATTCCCAGACATCAGTATTTTGTAAAAGTCCCAGGAGATTCCAATGTGCAACCAAGTTTCAGAATTACTGGTCTATAAAAGAAGACCCAGACTGCCCGTTCTTACAGTCTACGAGTTTATGCTTATTAAACACAAATAATATTAGACAGAGTCCCCCTATGTTGCCCAGGGCTAGAGAGCAGTGGCTATTCGCAGGTGCAATCAGAGTTTACTGCAGCTTCAAACCCTTAGCCTTAAGCAATCCCCTCACCTAAGCTGCCTGAGTAGCTGGGACTATAAACACAACTATAAATTCACAAGCAATATTTTAATGATGATGAGAAGGAAGGGGTAAATTACTATTTAAGTCTACCATTTCCTGCAGCTGTTTCTGTCCCTAAATGAGTTGGAATAATTTCAATCCAGAGGACATGCCCATTTCATTCTTTTAGAAACTACTTTAATGGTACACTTTGGATATAAAAGTTCATCTTTTATATATATATGATTTTGAGGCAGGGGAATACAAAACAAAAGGGGAAAGAGTGAGTGGGGGACAGGGAAAGAAGAAGAAGAAGGAAAAGATGAAGGAGGAGGAGGGGAGGAGGAGGGGGAAGTAGGAGGCGGGGGAGTAGGAGGATGAGGAAGGGAAGGAGGAAGGGAGGGGATAAGGAGGAGGGGAGGAGGAGGGAAGAAGAAAGGGGAGGGGGAGAAAAGAGGGAGGGGAGAGGGTGGAGGAGGAAGAGCAAAAAAACTACATACATACAGATAGATGATAGATTTATTAATTAGGTAGATAAATACCGAAATGAGAAATATTAGCCAGTGACATATCCCTGATAATGAACTAAAGAACTTTTAAGTCCTGAGATGTAATAACAGTTGCCCAGGCTGGGCGCGGTGGCTCACGCCTATAATCCCAGCACTTTGGGAGGCCAAGGAGGGTGGATCACGAGGTCAAGAGATCGAGACCATCCTGGTCAACACGGTGAAACCCCGTCTCTACTAAAAATACAAAAAATTAGCTGGGCATGGTGGTATACACCTGTAGTCCCAGCTACTCAGGAGGCTGAGGCAGGAGAATTGCTTGAACCCAGGAGGCAGAGGTTGTGGTGAGCTGAGATTGCACTCCAGCCTGGGTAACAAAATTGAAACTCCGTCTCAAAAAAAAAAACAACAAAAAAACAGTTGTCCAACTGTCAAACCTTCAGTAAATGTAACTGTGACATAAAAAGCCTTGTGGGAAAAGGAGTGTTTAGGGACAACAAAAAAAAATGGTGGCTTTTCTTAGCTTGGGAGGTACATGGGAGAGAGCAAAAAACAGCTCTGTGTAGTGAGACCCAATTGATGTTAATAACTCACTCCTGGGGGAAAAAGAAGAGCAGGAGATCAAACACCGCATGTTCTCACTCATAGGCGGGTGTTGAACAATGAGAGCACATGGACACGGGGGCGGGGAGCACTACACACTGGGGTCAGTTGGGGGGAAATAGGGGAGGGACGGTGGGGGGTGGGGAGTTGGGGAGAGATAGCAAGGGGAGAGATGCCAGATGTAGGTGATGGGGAGGAAGGCAGCAAATCACACCGCCACGTGTGTACCTATGCAACAATCTTGCATGTTCTTCACATGTACCCCAAAACCTAAAATGCAATAAAATAAATAATTGGGAAAAAAAAAAGAAAAAGAAATGGATCAAACAGTTACCATGAGAAAATAAGTACTTTGGAATTCCTGGGACTCTTAGGAGGACAATGGCGTTTTTACTGAAAATAGGTTGGGGGATCTAGAATTTATGTCACTCCTCTCAGTGCTTCAGTTTCCTAATCTGTAAAATGGATTCAATCACAGGACCATTTAATAAGTATATTTGAAGATGAAATGATTTAGTAGTTATAAATCACTAAAAATAATGTTCAGCATGCAGTGTTAAGTACAGCTTTATTAAATAAAAATAAATAAAATAAATATCAAAACATTATTAAAAGAACACAGTGTTGGAGGAGAGCTAGGCAAATAAATCCGCAAAATAAATTCACATCTACAAACAGACTTGAGGATATGTAATCATTCAGCACATGATGAAGCTCATATTTCACCTCAGTGAGAAAAGAATGACATATTCAATGCGTGATGTCAACTGTTTCCCTCTGATTTTTCTTCCTATTTCTTGGTGAACTAAAGCTGTGAAAAAAAAGACACTGAATTCAGATTGACCTCACTCATTCTCAAGCATTGATATAACTGAATAATGTATAGATACAGGTAAGCTCTATAGCAACAAGCCTGGATGCACTGCTGTAGTGGGGGAAAATGGAAGGTGGAGTGTTTGCCGCAGGACAGCTGAGTGGAGGGTGGGGACAGGTGTGAACTGGGGAGGCCCAGGGAGTTGGGGAAGCAATAAGGGCCAGGGCCAGAGTTGGCTTAAATGGAACAACTGCTCTGTGCGCTAAGGCCCCTAACTCTCGCTGGCTGTTTCCTGACCCCAGACCAGGGTTGGGAGTCCTCTGGGCATTCATTTTCTAAAGGAACTGAACAGAGTACACACAGAAAAGGAAGCTGTCACCCTCTTGCCATCTGACTCCTGGGACCTCCAGTCCGGCATTCCTCTTTCTTCCCTTGACTGGGTGGGGCCACATGATGGGCAGCCAAGGTCTGGGCTGTCCCACCAGAGCAGGCTGTAAACACAGCCATGTTTCTGCAAGGCGTTTATCTTCTTCTCTGGTGTCCCAGCCCATCAGTGCCACATTACAGCCCGGAGTGAGTTCTACAAGCGCTGCTAGCCTAATGGATGGGTTGGGGGAAGGGGGTGGGACAGGGGCTGGAGGAGGGGCTCTGGGGTCTATCACGGCACAGGAACAACACGCATGGTGTTGGTGAAGCCGGAGCCAGGGCGCCACCCAGTCAGCACAATGACCACATATCCCTTCTTGAAGAAGCCTCGGGCCTTGCCAACATTCATGGCCAAGTTCACCCGGAGGTCCACGTCCTCGGCCCAGGCCTCCTGGACGGGGTCCTTACACAACACAGGAAAGATGCCACAGTACAGGTGAGCCTGATGAGCTGTCTGGGGATTCCGTGTCACAGCAATGATGGGGGCACGTGGGCGGTATCTAGCCACCTGGTGAGCAGAACTGCCAGACTTGGTGAGGACGATTATGGCCCCACTGCAGTGCTTGAAGGAGGCCTCCACGGCACCCACAGCGGTGGCTACTGTGGGGTTGCTGGTAATGGGGGCCAGACGGCGGAGTTCCTCAAATAATTGCAAGTAGTAGATGGCGGCCTCTGCCTCACGGGCAATCAGGTGCTGCATGCGCACGGCCTCCAGAGGATAGTCCCCTTTTGCTGTCTCTCCAGACAGCATGATACAGTCAGCTCCATCCAGGACTGCATTGGCCACATCACTGCCCTCAGCCCGGGTGGGGCGGGGCTTCTTGATCATGCTCTCCAGCATCTGAGTGGCACAGATGACAGGCTTCCCAGCTCGGTTGCACCGCCCAATCATCATCTTCTGAGCAAGGAAGACCTTCTCTGCAAGAATTTCAATGCCTAGATCACCACGAGCCACCATGATCCCATCACTGGCCTCCAGGATTTCATCAAACCTCCGAAACCCCTCATGATTCTCGATTTTGCTGATTATCTTGATGTTCTTTCCCTTCTCTCCCAGTACCTTCCTCACTTCACGGACATCAGCTGCCTTGCAGATGAATGAATGACGCAAACACCATATAGACATCCTGCTCAACCCCAAACTTCAGGTCCTGGATGTCCTTCTCTGACACAGCAGGCAAGTCCACAGCAGCCCCAGGAAGGTTCACACCCTTCTTGCTGCCCAAGGAGCCACCATTTTCCACCTCTGTCACCAGGAAGTCAGCACCTTTTTGCTTCACCTGGAGAGAAATAAGCCCATCATCCACGTAGATCTTGCTGCCCACTTCCACCACCTTGCAGATGTTCTTGTAGTCCAGCCACAGGATGTTCTCATCACACTTTTCCATGTAGGCGTTCTCCAGCGTGATTTTGAGAGTGGCTCCCTTCTTCAGCTCCATCTCTGCGGTGCTGCTGCCCTTTAAGAGACCAGTTCGGATCTCAGGCCCTTTAGTGTCCAGAGCCACAGCAACGGGCCGGTAGAGGATGGGGTCAGAAGCAAAGCTTTCTGTGGCTGCGCGCACATTCTTGATGGTCTCCGTGTGGTACTCATGAGTTCCATGAGAGAAGTTCAGACGAGCCACATGCATTCCAGACTTAATCATCTCCTTCAACGTCTCCACCGATCTGGAAGCTGGGCCAATGGTACAGATGATGCCAGTGTTCCTGTCTGTGATGGGTGGTGAGTCAATGTCCAGACGGCACATGTGCTCCAGGAATGTGTCAGCCATGGCTGCATGCAGCTGCTGGGTCTGAATGAAGGCAGTTCCGGCTTCACTATGGGGCTTCGACATGGCTGCTGAGGTCCTCGGGTGCTGACCGACTCGAGCTACGCTGCAAACGTGAGGAGGTCTGCAACCCCGGGATGCGCAGCTGCTGTGCCCATTTATTTCTTATGATTCTAGAGGCTGGACATCCAAAGTCAAGGGGCCCCCATCTGTTAAGGGTTTTCTTGTTGTGTAATACCATGGCAGAATGGGGAAGAGAGGATGAGAGAAAGAGCATCAGGGAGCTGAACTCACTTATATAAAAGCCCAATCTTGGAATAACTAACCCACTCCTGAGATAATGACAGGAATTCTTTCATGAAGGTGGAGCCCTCATGGCATATTCAGTTTTAATGGTTCTGCCTCGTAATACAATAGCAATTAAATTTCAACATGCATTTTAGACGGAACATTTAAACCATAGAATTCAATCCCTGGCACCTCACAACTTATGTCCTTTTCATATACAAAATACATTCATGTTATGCCAATAGCCCCAAAGGTCTTAACTCATTTCAGCATCAACTCAAAAGTCCAAAGTCCAGAGTCTCATCTGAATCAAATGTGAGTGATGCTCAAGGCATGATTCATCCTTACGCAAATTTCTCTCCAGGTGTAAGCCTGTGAAATTAACAAGTCATGTGCTTCCAAAATAGCCAAGACATAGGATAACCATTCTCATTCCAAAAGGGAGAAGTGGCCAAGAAAAAAGGGTAGCTGTAACAAGTAAGTCCAAAATCCAACAAGGAAAACAACGTTAACTTGTAAAGCTGGAGAATAATCTTATTTGACTCCATGTCCCCTATTCTGGGCACACTGGGCTGGAGGGTTGGGCCCCCAAAGCCTCAGGCAGCCCTACCCATGTGGCTTTGCTGGGGTCAGTCTACCCAGCAGATCTCATAGATTAGAGTCTCATGCCTGCAGCTTTCCCAAGCTAGAGTTGCATGCTGGTACAGTTCTGCATGCTCTACAGTTTTGGGGGGTCTTGACAGCTGCCCCATTCCCACAGCTCCCAGTAGGTGTTGCCCAAGTAGGGACTCTGCAGTGGCCACAGTCCCATAGTTCTGCTGGGCATTGCCCTAATGGTGGCTGTGTGTGTCGGCTTCACCCCGAGACGTTTCTGCCTGTGCCCAGGCTGTCTATGACATCCTTTGAAATCTAAGTGGAGAAAGTTACAGCTCTTGCATTCTACATGTCTGCAGAATTAGTACCACATACACATTGTCAAGGTTTATGTCATGTACCTTCCAGAGTGGTTGATTGAGCTGTACTGGACCCATCTGAGCCAAAAACATGGAGCAGCTAAGGTGTGCTGCACCAGAATTTGGGGACCAAAGTTTGGAATAGCCCTGGGCAGCAAATCCTGAGCTCCCTTGGGCGCCTCTCTAGAAACCTTGCCCTCAAAGTCCTAGCTTGCCTGGAGGATCTCTGAAATGCCTTTTGGGTCATTCTCCCAATGTCTTGAAAAATAGACCCTGGCTCTCCTCTATCCATACTAAACTCTTTAGCAAATAGTTTCTTGGCTAGACTTTTGATTTGCTCTTCTAAAGCAAATGAAAAAATCCTTTTCAATATTTATATGGCTGAGATAGTTAATACTGAGTGTCAATCTGGTTGGATTGAAAGATTTGGCCTTCCTGGGTGTGTCTGTGAGGGTGTTACCAAAAGGATTAACATTTGAGTCAGTGGACTGGGAAAGGCAGACCCACCTTCAATCTGGGTGGGCACAATCTAATCAGCTGCCAGCACAGCTGGAATAAATGCAGGCAAAAGAATGTTAAAAGACTAGACTGGCTTAGCCTCCCAGACTACATCTTTCTCCCATGCTGGATGCCTCTGCCCTCAAACATCAGACTACAAGTTCTTCAGCCTTGGGACTTAGACTGGCCTCCTTGCTCCTCAGCTTGCAGACAGCCTATTGAGGGACCTCCCCTTATGATCATGTGAGTCAATACTCCTTAATAAATTCCCCTTTACATATATGTTTATCCTATTCATTCTGTCCCTCTGGAGAACCCTAATACAATGGCTAAGCTGCAAATTTTCCAAATTTTTCTGCTCTGTTTTTCTTTTATTATAAAGCCTGTCTCAAACTTCTCTCCTCTCATATCATATTGTATGCAGTTAAAAGTAGCCATGCAGCTTCTTCAATGTTTTGCTTAGAAATTTCTTCTGCCACACATTGTAGTTCATTGCTTTTAAATTCTGCCTTCCATAAAGTCCTAGGACATGGGCACAATTCTTCTAAGTTCCTTGCAACTGTGTCACAACAATAACTTTTATGCCAGTTTCCAATACTTTGTTCCTCATTTCCATTGAAACCTCATCAGAATGGCCTTTACCATTCATGTTTCTACCAACATTCTAATCATGACCAATTAAGTAATCTCTACGAAGTTCCAGACTTCTCTACATTTCTTCTCAACTCTCACCAGAATCACTCTTACAGCTCTTTTACAGCAATCTACGCCTATCTAGGCTTTGCTAGCCTGCTCCTCAAAATTCTTCTAGCATCTCTTCATTACCTACTCCCAAAGTCACTTCAACAACATTTTTAATAGCAATAGCCCCACTTAATGGTATCAATTTTGTGTCTTAGTCCATTTTTGGCTGATATAGCATGGTACATAAAACTGGGCAGTTTACAAAGAACAGGTATTTATTTCTTACAGTTCTGGAGTCTGAGAAGCCTAAGTTGAGGTGCCTGCATCTTGTAAGGTCCTTCCTGCTGTGTCATCCCATGGCAGAAGGCAGAAAAGCAAGAGAACATGAGAAAGACAGCAAGAGGGATGCAACCTCACTTTTATAACAAGTCTGCTCTCACAATAACTAACTTATTCTGATGATAATAATACACCCCTGTGATTACGACATTAAACAATTTATGCAGAAGACAGAGACCTTGTGGCCTAATCACCTATTAACGGTTGCCTCTCTTAATGCTGTCACAATGACAATTAAGCTTAACAAGTTTTGGAGGGAACATTCAAACCTTAGCACCTAGTATCCCTATCTTATACCTGATAAAGGCATAGCAGTGGGCGGGGAAGGGGGAGAAGGCATAGTTATTTCCAAGAGCTATGAAAAACATCTTACCTAGTATGTACCAGGCATATATTATAAAGAATAAAATCATTAAGTAAAATTTCTATAGCTTGTTTTAGTGGCAAAGCATGTGAATTATTGCAGGATACTTTTTAATCTAGATACAAAGATTAAATGTTTAAGTGGTATTTTTAAATAATATTCCAGAAATACTTTGTGATATTTGACTGCTACCTTTTATCTTTTTCTGTCTCAATGCCCTCCAATCCTTGCCGAGGTAATTCTGCATTGAAGGTCACAATAAAGTTAATATGATGTTCAGCTCCTGTGAGGTTGCACAATTTCCCAGTGTGTTCTCTTCCCCTGGCCTCTTAGTGCACCCTGCTGGACTCCCTTAGGAACACCACCTGTTTTTAGACTGCCACATGAGAACAAGCTTCATTTATATACTCCAAATGACACATACACATTAACAGATATATCATAGTCTCTAATGCTATGATCCCACAAATATTTTCCTTTTTTTTCTTGGTCCACAGACTGACCCAGCTAATATTTAGATGTCAGCAATTTCTGCAAATGATTGTGCTTTCTTAATGCTATGAACTGAATGTTTGTGTTTCTTCAAAATCCATGTGTTGAAACCTGATCCCCCATATGATCCTATTTGGAGGTAGGGCCTTTGGGAAGTAATTAGGTCATGAGAGTAAAACCCTTATAAGTGAAATTAGTGCCCTTAAAAGAAAAAAGCTCTCAATCATGTGAGGATATAGAGAGAAGGCAGCTGTCTACAACCTAAGGAGTGGGCTGTCACCAGACACTAGATGTTCTAACTTTTTGATCTTGGACTTCCCAGCCTGTGGAACTGTTAAGAAATAAAAGTTTGTTGTTTAAGCCGCCTAGTCCATGGCATTTTTGTTATAGCTTCCCAAACTGACTAAGATCCCAGTTAACTTCAAGTTTCTAAAAGCTAAAGTCATTTCTATTTGTCATGTAGAGCACAAACAGGTGCTTCTAGACTCAGTCTGTCAGATAGCCTAGTGGCACAGTGAAAGCAACAAGAATTCTAACTCTGCCAGGAAACTTCACTGTCACCAGTGATGGTGAAGATACTACTCTTCTCCTCTAATACAAAGAGCATAGCTTTGTGCAGCGGCAGTATCGCAGCTGGTGAAGTTTATCCAAGGCACGATTATTGCTAATTGAAAACTTTTCCCAATAGCCCACCATGACAACTTAAAATATAGTCTGCACTGGCAATTTTTGACAATCTCTAAGGAGACTGAATTTAAAAAAAAAATAGGCTGGGCGCGGTGGCTCACGCCTATAATCCCAGCATTTTGGGAGGCCGAGGCGGGTGGATCACGAGGTCAAGAGATCGAGACCATCCTGGTCAACATGGTGAAACCCTGTCTCTACTAAAAATACAAAAATTAGCTGGGCATGGTGGCACACGCCTGTAGTCCCAGCTACTTGGAAGGCTGAGGCAGGAGAATTGCTTGAACCCAGGAGGCGGAGGTTGTGGTGAGCCGAGATGGTGCCATTGCACTCCAGCCTGGGTAACAAGAGCGAAACTCCTTCCCCAAAAAAAAAAAAAAAAATACAAAGTGCATAATGCTCCCCTGCTTGCCTTTCTACCTGAAATCCCAAAATAATCTCTTTCAAACTGTTAGTCCTCCTCATACCCCCATCTGTCTTAGTCCATCCTGTCCTGCTATAACAGAATTTTTAAGATTAGGTAACTTATAATGAACACAAATTTATTGGTTCACACTTCTGGAGGCTGGAAAATTTGAGATCAAAGTGCTAGCGTCTGGTGAGGCCCTTGTTGCTGTATCATCAACATGGTGGAAGGCAGAAGGCAAGAGCACAAGAGAGGGAATCCATTCCCACAAGCCGTTTTTATAATAGCATTGATCTGTTCATGAGGGCAGAACCCTTGTGATCTAAACAACTTCCATTAAGCCCCACCTCCTAATACTGTTGCAGAGGATTAAGTTTCCAACACATGATTTCTGGGACACACATTCAAACCGTAACATCATCCATTCTTCAGCAGCTCACTAAAGGGTGC